GGGGGGGGGGCGAATCTCCTGTGACACTGGCACTTTGTACCTATCAAAACCTGATAAAAACTTGTACTATTGTTTTCACAGTCAGTGAACACAAGAATATTTGCATAGCGGGACTAAATCGTCAGACTGGATACGCTACTGAATATTAAACGGATCCAACATTGTTGAGTCAACATCATCCAACATTGTTGAAATAATGGCCCAAACGGCTTCCTTTTCAAATATTTTTGTCACTGACTAGGTTTAGAGTTTGAGTAAAGCTTATCTAACCAAAAAGATTTGAAAGAGAAGCAGTCTTATCTATTATAGTAAGATTGTTGGATGATGTTGGTCCAACAATGTTGGATCTGTTTAAACAGGCCTTAATACAAATAAAACTAATTGTTAGGTAATTTCAGTTCAGTCTTCAAAATTCTTCTCAAATTAAATGGTAATTTATGAAACTTAGAGCTTTGTTGAAAAGGAAAGCAGTTCATGTTTTTAGGCAAAAAGGTAACCCAACAAAATTCATAAACATTAAATATTCAAAGAAAACTTGCCGTATATTTCACCTATTTCCCATAGTAAATCAATTCTTCTCATTTCTTCAAACAAAATTGCTTCAAGTTTGTTGTGAATGAAACGATTTTCCAAATATATGTCTTTTAAAATTGAAATTTTGCTTATCCCACTCCTACACACAATCAACCATATTTTTGAGATCAGTGAGGATGACCACCCACTCAAGATCGTTGGTCGCGCCTGCGACTATTGATGAACTTTAGACTTCACTAATACTTTTGTTTCCCCGGTGTAAATAGCCGGGGGAATTAGTACCCTCACACGGCGTCGGGATTAAACAGTCCGTAATTTCACCTTGCTTTGTCACAAAAGTAAGATGTCTTAGAACCAGGGTGTCCACAGGCCTTGAAAATCCTGAAAAGTCCTTGAATTGGAAAAAAAGTCCTTGAAAATCAGGATAGAAGTCCTTGACTGGAGTTATTTTCCTTCCCATCGTTTTCACGTATACGCGTTATGATCTGGATTGTTGCAAGTTAAAAAAAATACACATGCATCTATATATTAACAAAATAATACATGCACGTATCCATGCAGATCTACATGTTAGCAAAAACAAAAAAAAATCCGGATGACCCATGAACATGCAGGGTTGCAAAATCCGCTCAGGTCTTTAGTGACTCTACTCGATCAATCCCTACTACGCTAGGAAGAGTTTAGAAGTTTGGTAGACCAGTCGAGAAAATTAATGTGATGACCTAATATTTTTAATTTTTGTTTCTAGCTGTTCCGGTCATAAAACAACATCTCTGCCGTTCCCTACGGAGCTGGCCAAACGAATTGGCAATGATAAAAGTTTTGAAACTATTTTAATAGAAACGGCCAAAGGTTTGAACACATTTAAGTTTTAATAAATTTCTTTGTGTGTTCTTCATTTGCTAGATAGACTTATTGCAAGACTTTAAAAAACTCAATTTATAGTCATGCTAATAAAGTTCTTATTTTCATTACCATGTCAGTGCGCAGTGTAATGCATCAAAACTTTGTATATAGGCCTATCTATCAGCCCTAATGCATGCATATAAGTAAATCATGCATGGTTCATGTTTTACATAACTTGTAGATTTATAATAAGGTGATTGGTAAATAATAGCTCTAATAATAGCAAATAATAACGAAGTAACGGCCAGAACGTACGTGGCTATATGTGAAACTGTCCACCTTGTCTTTGCAAGCAAGCTCCAATTGTGAAACTTTCTTGTGTATTTCTGCTTATCCTCTCACTTGGGTGAATCAGGTTTGAATGTCCAAACAACGTGAAATGCGCAAACTAGATTAGTTTGAGCATTGCTGGCGAAGATCTGTCGATTTTGTGAGATGAACAATGAATGACGTTAATTCGAATTGGTGAATTCGAATCTTTTTAGCCAGGTGATCAAGAAATAAACTTGTCCCTAAATTCTAACCCATGCAATCCCATATGAAAATGTGACCTAATGTCTGCCGTTTCGTAATACAGACATGCACAATCACAAGCAATGAACATCAACATATTACCGTTCATGCCGAGCAGTCTAATTCTGTAATTATTTTGTTAATATAGCTGTTGACCAATACAAGGTCAAGGATTTAAGAATTGGAACAATATGTCGCCACAGCACGATGGATGAAGAATTATTTCTCAACCAATGTACCTCAACCAATGTAAACAAACAAAAAGATGCTGCCATTCTGCGGGAGCAATACGAACTAGGTAAGGTCATAGTCAATATAATAAACAAGGTTATAGCCAGGTATTCGATGGAAATACAAAAGATCACATCTATATATATGCATGTTACTTTATATCCTCACATGCGTATTTTTTTTAAATTACAATGTTTTTAATGGACCTATTCCTGATGAACAAAATTTTGATCTCAACAAGTCTAGACAAACATTTCACTACAGCTTGAAAGAGCATCAAAATGAGTAATATTCCAAAGTTTCATTGCAAAATGTTGTAAAATGCGGATAATATAGCCTTGCGAAGTTTGACGTTTTCAGTCATTTTGTATTACGCACAGGAACATATCCATTACACATTGACATTATGTTTTAACTGGAACAATAATTCAAGACAAAAACATGTGTTATCAAAAATACAAAAATTTATTATCAAAATTTTTGAATGTTGATTGTTGTTAACTTTCCTTCATTTGTGCAGTTTATTAGTTCATATGCTGTAAGCAGAGTTCCTCTGCTTCCGCCATGACCACCGAGTATACAGGGTGTCCAAAAAAAAAGTGACACTATAGAAATTATCCTATTGTTATAATTTCAATGCCCTAGCACTAAGTTGATCTCACAGGTGCATAAACTTCTGCTTCTGGAATTTAAAATAAAAAAGCAAACTGTTTAATAGTGTAATCGTTTTGCTTGACTCGGGCGTTAAAATATTTGGACGAAGTGAAAACGTTGTAAAATGCAAATACAAGTTCATTAAAGTGGCCCTGGGTTTGACAATTTTTTTGAAAGCAGTTGACCATCTTTTCATCATCTTCTTTTGGCTTCTTTTCATCATCTTCTTTTTCAACAAGTAAGTACTTATGAAAGTTACATTTTTATCTGCGGTGTTCAACGGCTTGTGTACACGCTAATATTTTTGTTAAAACCAGTTAAACCAATTTTTTAAAAACTTTATTTATCTTTTTACCTTTAAATACCCTCATTTGGACATAATTTCCTAATAAGAAACATGTATCTGGAATTTGATTGGCTACTCCGACTATCAACAATTCTTGAATTTACTCCCGCGCCTTTCTGCGTCAGCAATTTTTTTTGCTCTGCAGTGATTTCATCTTTCACTTCGACAGGTTTTTGTTATGACTGAAGAAATGTCTGAAAATGGCTACAAACATGAGTAAGTTTTACAATATAACTTTTATTTTATATGCGGATTATAAATGAATATTTAAATACCTGGCATTAGCATCGGGCACATTTATCTTTTTTTTCTTTTTCAGCTGGTTAGGTTTTCCTAGTCCTCAATTTAACTCGCCAGAAAGCAATCCAGAAAGCAGCTTGATGTCACCATGTGTATACTGAAAAGGTAACATATCCCGCAATCCCTGTTTTCTGGTATCAGATAAAAAGCTTGTATATATTTTGAAATGTTTATTAACGCTGTCTGCCTTCTATACAGAATATACCAAGCTCAAAGTAAAAGGGGAAAACTATTAACTCGCCAAGGCAAAATAAAAGACCAACACTGGCGGCAGGTCAGCCATTCTATATAACATTAATTTGCCGGTTTAGTTTCCAAAAAATAAACTCATTCATATATAGTATGTTATAGTTTATATTCATGCAGGTTGGGGAAGCCAGCAGAGCCAAACGAGGATGACATTAAAGACAACAAGTGCGACGCAAAATAGGAAATTAACACTTGCAGCAGGTCAGCCATTCAAACTTTAATATGCCGGTGTAGTTTCCAAATAACAAACTTGTTCATATATAGTTTTGTTATTGTTTGAACTCTGATCGGGGAAGCCAGCAGAGCCAATCGAGGATGACATTGAAGACACCAAGTCCGACGCAAAACAGGAAATCACTTGCAGCAGGTCAGCCATTCAAACTTTAATTTGGTGGTGTAGTTTCCAAATAACAAACTCGTTCATATATTGTTTTGTTATCATTTGTATTCAGGTCGGGGAAGCCAGCAGAGCCAACAAAGTCAAAGAGGTAGACCGCTAGGTCAGGCAGTCAACTTTTATTTGCCAGTACAGTTTCAAAAACCAACTTAACTGGTTGAGCTCTAATTCTGAACTTCTGAGTTGTGTACTGACCTTTCAAAAATGTAAATGACTGATTAATGTTGATTCATGTCTAATTATAAAAATAAGAACAGTGAAAATCCGGCTTAAAATTGTTCTCTAAATTTTTATTGGCTCAGGAAAAGACAGAACAAAAATGTGCTTGCAACAACATCCAGATGAAAAGCATTATTTTTGTTTCTGACAACTCACAAATTATTTAATTTCAACTTCTCACATAGGATTCGAAACTGAAGGAAGACAAAGGCATGGGCCCCTACAAAGTCCTACAAGATCAGGCCATATAAGCAACAAGGTAGAAATCTTAAACAACATGTCTATACTGAACGGTACAATAATCAGTATATTATGTAATATATATGTAATTATTGGTATTGTTTTGCATCCACGTTTTGTCGTTATCAGAAAATGTATGGTTTGTCACTATTTTTCACTTGCATTATTTCAATATAGTTTGTAAATCTCAGAAGCGAAGGGTAGAACTTGCCAATAGGCAATAATCCAATAATATACGTTTCAAAAAAGACAAGAAAGCTTTTAGTTTTGCAGAGTTACATTCTCAAATGTTTAAGGCATGCACTAATAAAATCAAAGTATCATGAAATTATTTGAATAAACCACACCACAATGCCACATATATAATGCCATTTTCTTTGCGGAAGTGAAGAATCAAGATTACATCACTGACACGGAAAGTTGACGATTCAACGGACAATAGTCAATACGCTTCCCAACACATTCCATAGATTTTTTACTAATCCTATAGTTTATTGTTAGCAAGTGATTACTGTGGCGGCTATTGTTAACATTCGTATTGATAAAATTTGCAAGCGATTGTTTTTATAATACGTTATGTGAATGTAAACTGCCAGAAGAATACGACAACATGATTTTATGCGATCTCTGTGATGGTTCCACTTTAGATGTGTAGAATATCACACTAGTCTAAGTACCTCAAATGTGTGCTTATGCAGACTGTGCACACCACCAGCTGCTAAGAAGCCTAAAATGTGTAAGTAATTTTGTCTCCTTGTAATAAATAAATAAATCACACAATAAATCTTTTCAACTTGCAATTGTTTTGTTTTTAGATCATAAATTCAAAATTTATATGGGGGGGGCGAAATTCCTAAAGGGGGGCGATATTCCTAGGAGAGATTCGCCCGGGGGGGGGGGCGAATATCCTAGGAATATCGCCCCCCTTTTGAGAGGGGGGGGCCAATGTCCTGTGACACCGGCACTTTGTACCTACCAAAACCTGATAAAAACTTGTACTATTGTTTTCACAGTCAGTGAACACAAGAATATTTGCATAGCGGGACTAAATCGTCAGACTGGATACGCTACTGAATATTAAACGTTTCCAACATTGTTGGGTCAACATCATCCAACATTGTTGAAATGATGGCCCAAACGGCTTCCTTTTCAAATATTTTTGTCGCTGACTAGGTTTAGAGTTTGAGTAAAGCTTATCTAACCAAAAAGATTTGAAAGAGAAGCAGTCTTATCTATTATAGTAAGATTGTTGGATGATGTTGGTCCAACAATGTTGGATCCGTTTAAACAGGCCTTAATACAAATAAAACAAATTGTTAGGTAATTTCAGTTCAGTCTTCAAAATCAATTTATTCGCCTTTACATTCTAAGATTTTTTCTCAAATTAAATGGTAACTTATGAAACTTAGAGCTTTGTTGAAAAGGAAAGCAGTTCATGTTTTTAGGCAAAAAGGTAACGCAACAAAATTCATAAACATTAAATATTCAAAGAAAACTTGCCGTATATTTCACCTATTTCCCATAGTAAATCAATTCTTCTCATTTCTTCAAACAAAATTGCTTCAAGTTTGTTGTGAATGAAACGATTTTCCAAATATATGTCTTTTAAAATTGAAATTTTGCTTATCCCACTCCTACACACAATCAACCATATTTTTGAGATCAGTGAGGATGACCACCCACTCAAGATCATTGGTCGTGCCTGCGACTATTGATGAACTTTAGACTTCACTAATGCTTTTGTTTCCCCGGGTGTAAATAGCCGGGGGAATTAGTACCCTCACACGGCGTCGGGATTAAACAGTCCGTAATTTCACCTTGCTTTGTCACAAAAGTAAGATGTCTTAGAACCAGGGTGTCCACAGGCCTTGAAAATCCTGAAAAGTCCTTGAATTGGAAAAAAAGTCCTTGAAAATCAGGATAGAAGTCCTTGACTGGAGTTATTTTCCTTCCCATCGTTTTCACGTATACGCGTTATGACCTGGATTGTTGCAAGTTAAAAAAAAATACACATGCATCTATATATTAACAAAATAATACATGCACGTATCCATGCAGATCTACATGTTAGCAAAAATAAAAAAAAATCCGGATGACCCGTGAACATGCAGGGTTGCAAAATCCGCTCAGGTCTTTAGTGACTCTACTCGATCAATCCCTACTACGCTAGGAAGAGTTTAGAACTTTGGTAGACCAGTCGAGAAAATTAATGTGATGACCTAATATTTTTAATTTTTGTTTCTAGCTGTTCCGGTCATAAAACAACATCTCTGCCGTTCCCTACGGAGCTGGCCAAACAAATTGGCGATGACAAAAGTTTTGAAACTATTTTAATAGAAACGGCCAAAGGTTTGAACACATTTAAGTTTTAATAAATTTCTTTGTGTGTTCTTCATTTGCTAGATAGACTTATTGCAAGACTTTAAAAAACTCAATTTATAGTCATGCTAATAAAGTTCTTATTTTCATTACCATGTCAGTGCGCAGTGTAATGCATCAAAACTTTGTATATAGGCCTATCTATCAGCCCTAATGCATGCATATAAGTAAATCATGCATGGTTCATGTTTTACATAACTTGTAGATTTATAATAAGGTGATTGGTAAATAATAGCTCTAATAATAGCAAATAATAACGAAGTAACGGCCAGAACGTACGTGGCTATATGTGAAACTGTCCACCTTGTCTTTGCAAGCAAGCTCCAATTGTGAAACTTTCTTGTGTATTTCTGCTTATCCTCTCACTTGGGTGAATCAGGTTTGAATGTCCAAACAACGTGAAATGCGCAAACTAGATTAGTTTGAGCATTGCTGGCGAAGATCTGTCGATTTTGTGAGATGAACAATGAATGACGTTAATTCGAATTGGTGAATTCGAATCTTTTTATGCCAGGTGATCAAGAAATAAACTTGTCCCTAAATTCTAACCCATGCAATCCCATATGAAAATGTGACCTAATGTCTGCCGTTTCGTAATACAGACATGCACAATCACAAGCAATGAACATAAACATATTACCGTTCATGCCAAGCAGTCCAATTCTGTAATTATTTTGTTAATATAGCTGTTGACCAATACAAGGTCAAGGATTTAAGAATTGGAACAATATGTCGCCACAGCACGATGGATGAAGAATTATTTCTCAACCAATGTACCTCAACCAATGTAAACAAACAAAAAGATGCTGCCATTCTGCGGGAGCAATACGAACTAGGTAAGGTCATAGTCAATATAATAAACAAGGTTATAGCCAGGTATTTGATGGAAATACAAAAGATCACATCTATATATATGCATGTTACTTTATATCCTCACATGCGTATTTTTTTTGAACAAAATTTTGATCTCAACAAGTCTAGACAAACATTTCCTGATGAACAAAATTTTGATCTCAACAAGTCTAGACAAACATTTCACTACAGCTTGAAAGAGCATCAAAATGAGTAATATTCCAAAGTTTCATTGCATAATGTTGTAAAATGCGGATAATATAGCCTTGCGAATTTTGCCATTTTCAGTCATTTTGTATTACGCACAGGAATATATCCATTACACATTGACATTATGTTTTAACTGGAACAATAATTCAAGACAAAAACATGTGTTATCAAAAATACAAAAATTTATTATCAAAATTTTTGAATGTTGATTGTTGTTAACTTTCCTTCATTTGTGCAGTTTATTAGTTCATATAGTTGCAACAAATATGCTGTAAGCAGAGTTCCTCTGCTTCCGCCGTGACCACCGAGTATACAGGGTGTCCAAAAAAAAAGTGACACTATAGAAATTATCCTATTGTTATAATTTCAATGTCCTAGCACTAAGTTGATCCCACAGGTGCATAAACTTCTGCTTCTGGAATTTAAAATAAAAAAGCAAACTGTTTAATAGTGTAATCGTTTTGCTTGACTCGGGCGTTAAAATATTTGGACAAAGCGAAAACGTTGTAAAATGCAAATACAAGTTCATTAAAATGGCCCTGGGTTTGATAATTTTTTTGAAAGCAGTTGACCATCTTTTCATCATCTTCTTTTGGCTTCTTTTCATCATCTTCTTTTTCAACAAGTAAGTACTTATGAAAGTTACGTTTTTATCCGCGGTGTTCAACGGCTTGTGTACACGCTAATATTTTTGTTAAAACCAGTTAAACCAATTTAAAAAAAACTTTATTTATCTTTTTACCTTTAAATACCCTCATTTGGACATAATTTCCTAATAAGAAACATGTATCTGGAATTTGATTGGCTACTCCGACTATCAACAATTCTTGAATTTACTCCCGCGCCTTCCTGCGTCAGCAATTTTTTTTGCTCTGCAGTGATTTCATTTTTCACTTTGACAGGTTTTTGTTATGACTGAAGAAATGTCTGAAAATGGCTACAAACATGAGTAAGTTTTACAATATAACTTTTATTTTATATGCGGATTATAAATGAATATTTAAATACCTGGCATTAGCATCGGGCACATTTATCTTTTTTTGCTTTTTCAGCTGGTTAGGTTTTCCTAGTCCTCAATTTAACTCGCCAGAAAGCAATCCAGAAAGCAGCTTGATGTCACCATGTGTATACTGAAAAGGTAACATATCCCGCAATCCCTGTTTTCTGGTATCAGATAAAAAGCTTGTATATATTTTGAAATGTTTATTAACGCTGTCTGCCTTCTATACAGAATATACCAAGCTCAAATTAAAAGGGGAAAACTATCAACTCGCCAACGCAAAATAAAAGACCAACACTGGCGGCAGGTCAGCCATTCTATATAACATTAATTTGCCGGTTTAGTTTCAAAAAAATAAACTCATTCATATATAGTATGTTATAGTTTATATTCATGCAGGTTGGGGAAGCCAGCAGAGCCAAACGAGGATAACATTGAAGACAACAAGTCCGACGCAAAATAGGAAACTAACACTTGCAGCAGGTCAGCCATTCAAACTTTAATATGCCGGTGTAGTTTCCAAATAACAAACTTGTTCATATATAGTTTTGTTATTGTTTGAACTCTGATCGGGGAAGCCAGCAGAGCCAATCGAGGATGACATTGAAGACACCAAGTCCGACGCAAAACAGGAAATCACTTGCAGCAGGTCAGCCATTCAAACTTTAATTTGGCGGTGTAGTTTCCAAATAACAAACTCGTTCATATATTGTTTTGTTATCATTTGTATTCAGGTTGGGGAAGCCAGCAGAGCCAACAAAGTCAAAGAGGTAGACCGCTAGGTCAGGCAGTCAACTTTTATTTGCCAGTACAGTTTCAAAAACCAACTTAACTGGTCAAGCTCTAATTCTGAACTTCTGAGTTGTGTACTGACCTTTCAAAAATGTAAATGACTGATTAATGTTGATTAATGTCTAATTATAAAAATAAGAACAGTGAAAATCCGGCTTAAAATTGTTCTCTAAATTTTTATTGGCTCAGGAAAAGACAGAACAAAAATGTGCTTGCAACAACATCCAGATGAAAAGCATTATTTTTGTTTCTGACAACTCACAAATTATTTAATTTCAACTTCTCACATAGGATTCGAAACTGAAGGAAGACAAAGGCATGGGCCCCTACAAAGTCCTACAAGATCAGGCGATATAAGCAACAAGGTAGAAATCTTAAACAACATGTCTATACTGAACGGTACAGTAATCAGTATATTAATATACTAAGGGGCTGTTCATATGAGCCCGGTTAACCGGGCTGGCCCGCTTTGCCGGGCTGGCCCACTTTGCTTTCACATGAGACGGGCTAGCCCGGCAATCATATCTATTCATAGTAACGATTTCCCGTGATATTTTAGCGGGAAAGTAAAAGTCGTTTTTGTTCAGTACATTTGTATTTTTGTCGATGCCAACAGCTTCGGGAGGTTTAATTTTGATAATTTCCTATATTTTTGAACTTTTTAGACTGTTTATAAGTGAAATAAAGCATGCAAATTTGCAGTCCGGCTTTCCGGGCTAGCGCAGTTGTGCATTCATATGAGCCTGGTAAGCCGGGATCTCGCCTCGCTGAAGCGAGATCCCGGCAAACCAGGCTGGCCCGCTTCTCATATGAACCGAATCTTAAATTAATATAAAAACAATATGTGAGGCGGGATCTCAGCACTCGAAAACCATCCCGGTTAACCGGGCTAGCCCGGCAGTGCCGGGCTCATAAGAACAGGCCCTTAATATTATTATCAGGCTATAAAACGGTTAAGGTTTTGTCCCCAATATTCCTAACTTGCTGTTAAACCTACAAAATGATGTCTGAGTGAATAATCATACCGGTACAAGCAAGGGTGGGATGAGCTCAAAGTTGTTAAGCGTGCAAGCAAACTAATGGATTAATTTCTTGTTTTCTTAGATTTGCTGAGTGAGCTGAACAAACTGAAAGACGATGTTGGTTCATTGAAAAGGAGCATAAAGGATATTGCGAGCAGTCAGTTGTAGATGATGTTGTGGGTGGTAAAAACGCTGAAGAAAAGTCATGACTCCCATAATTTTGAAATGGGAAAATGCTGCCACACGGTAATACATTACTTTAGTATATATTTCATTGCATGCAGTCTGCTGTACACTACTGGTTGCTTTGAGGACTAAACTAATAATTTTCTGATTTACATTCAAATGAAAGGATATTGTGAATGATATGGCACAGTGGTATTGTACCAATGGCAGGTATCAAGTTGTTGACAAAGAGAAAAAGGTATACAGTAATTGACACAGTGATGCATATTTACTCGTATTTATTTGCTTACAAATACATCATTTTCACATCTGAGCCACACACTTGAAAATATGATACATGTACAATAAATTTATTAAACAATATTATTATATGAAGTATAGTGCTTTATAGAGTTTCTAGCACTGATAAAGGTGATAATCTCACATGTGAGATTATTCATGATCGCTTTTCTGTAAAATTTATCATGATCGCTTTTTTCTAATTATTCATGATCGCTTTTCTGCATTATCGCTTTTCAAAGACTGTCCTTTATATAATAAACAAAAAATACATAGGTGCTTGGAAATACCAGATTTATTTCTTGTGTTGAACATGATATCTCACTCGTTTGCTGCGCTCACTCATGAGATATCATGTTCAACACTCGAAGTAAATCTGGTATTTCCGTGCACCATGTATTATTCTCTATATAAACCAATAATAAAATACGACTTTTTGCTAATCATTTTGTATTTTACAGAGGTTGCTTGAAGCAGAATTTGAAGATTCGCCAACAGGCCTATCCATACAGGAATTGATGAGCCATTGTGGCAAATATGAAGCAAATCGTTTCTCATATTGGAGAAGCGAGGAACGAAGACGGATATTTATGAAATATTATTTTTTGCATATTCCCTTATAATAATATAGTTATGTATACTAACCCTCAGGTGGCAATACGCCCAACTTTATTATTTTACTCTGTCTAACACCAGACAATTTTATCTGTCAGTTAGGGGGGAGTGCTGCCACTAAATGGTTAATATACATTATTTATGTTAATACCATAAATAGTTTTGTCATATTTTATTTACATACGTTTTTCTTTTCAGGTTCTAGAGCTTAATGGCTATGAACAATTGCTTGAGGTTTCATCATAAAAGTGATAGATATAGAATGATAGATATAGAACTCCTATCTTTTCTCAGTGAAAAATTTGTCTCAGTGGGAATTTCATGTGGTTGCAGGGAGTGCAAATTGTTTTTTCAACTGCAAAGTTTGCAAAAATTTCTATGTCAAGACTTAAAATGGAAAAAAAGTTTAACAAAGAAGAAAAAGTTGTCTAATAACCCATTCTAGTGGGCTTTTTTTATGAAAAGTAACAGTTCTGAACAGAATGTATACAGAAATCGTTGTTTAAAAATAATTTCAACATTGTTGTGCAAGCCAAAAACAAAACACGAAAGACCAAGACAAACTCAAACTCAATAGGTATGTTCTACAAATATTTCAACTCTTTTATGATATAAATGGAGTTCAATAATCTTTTTAAATTTACACAATTACTTTTCATATTTTTCTACGTTGCTTGAGCTCGAGGCAACGCTTTTGAAACCATAGTTTTCGACAATTATTTAGGCAATTTACAGTTTATCGACAATTAAATATTTTTGTTTCAAGAACATGAAAACACTTTGTTTACATCTTGTAAGATATTAGCTAAACAGTGGTGATGTTTACAGCATGCAAAAAAATGTTTGTGTAAATTATATTTACACAAAACTATTTTGTTTTTACAAGGCTGCATGATTGTCACCATTTGTGTAACTGCAGATTTGTTTTGACAGTTTTGACAACTCAAAATCTATCCCAAAACTACAAATTAGACAACAAGACAAATATTTTGACGACGAAAACATAGTCTTAGCTTTGTTTATACTATGTAGTTTGCACTCCTAGTCAAATTAAACATGGCAGATTTATAAGGGCACGCATGACAAAAGCGGAGACATGATTCGTGATCAAGTACGCATTCTATATCTATTATTTCTATGGGTTTCATCCAGTACGCTGACTAATAAAGTCCTGCAGCTCCTTGGCCAGAAATACAATGTTCAGTAGAAGTCTGCTGTTAAAAAAGAAGTTATTTTAATAGTTAGTATTTTGACTAGTATCATACAAGAAGTCTGCTTCCATTTACATTGCACATATGCATATGTTTACCTACAATAATCTACCTGCTGAAGAACAAACATAAACAAAGAGCCAAGCCAGATCTAGATAGGGTGGAGTACACAGCCGATTACCCCCAGAAAGGAGAGGCACCCTGCCAAACAAGTGAAGAACTCCTCCAGAAAAGTGAAGAAGCATCCCCCAAATCTTCTACTTCATGCATTTACAGAATTATTTGATGTGCCAATCCCACCCACCTTAAAAAGTCTTGCACTCCCTGTGCCAAATGAACCAACTGATGCACTTTTTGTTATAACATTGAAACAACGTCAGAGGATGACGACTGTTCTTGCCTTGTGTTTCTCTTGTTTTTCACCACCTTTCCTATCTGTTTTAATGCCATGCCCATCCATGTTTAGGGCTGACATAAGCTCGCTGGTCATTAATCTAAAGAATAAGAAAATTCGTAAAAATACATGCAGAGGAATAATTTAAGTAGTGATCCTAAGCCAACTTTGTCATCTATATTCACAATGGGTTTTCATTGTTTGGTTTCCTGACCGTGCCTAGCTGTTGGCTAATGAAATCACCAACCCTAATTAATCGTTTTCTCTGACGTTTGCAGAGCTAGGAGCAATTTTTCGTCAAAGTTGATACAACATTTAATGCATGTTTGTGCCTTGTGTACCACTGTAATTGAAGAAAAATATCACTCTCAAGCATGAACATTTCTAAGAAAATTAACACAACCTATCCTACCTACGTTTTTGCTATGAAGAATAGAAAACCCAGGTTCAAATAATAGGCTCCAGAATTGTCATACTGTACACTAGTGAAACTGTAACTACCTGATCATTACGTCTTAGACATTGTTTTTGACACTGGATCCACCTATCTTCTCATGCAGGCTCATCTCAAAGAAGAGCCTGCAACAACCTCAAGGAAATCACCATACCCACTAATTACTATGATAATTTATTTCCAATCCAACTAATCATATTCCCTGAAATTTGTGTGTGTGATGCAGTGCGAGTAATAAGTAATATACTTTTAATATTACTGTTGTAGTTCCTTACTCTGTGGTTGTAGTTCATAGCTAGACTCAAAAATTGCATGGCAGTATGTTTAACATTTGGAGTAAATAAAACATTAACAGAACTTACACTGGGCAACCTCGGCTTGGTTACTTTGGTACATTAGTACGATACAATTCACTAGAACATAACATACTTGCAACAGTGAGTCACTGACATGCACTGTCTATTTATATGTCTAACTAGTAGACTCAAAAATGCAATCATTCAAGCAATAATTTACATATTAATACTGAATGGCAACTGAAAAAATTTTATATCAAAAAGAAGACAATACCATCTTTATAGGTCTAAACATTACAGTAATATTCAAAAGCAAACAAAATATGACCAGCTATGAGGAAATATACAGTACATATGTTTCAAAATTGCAACGGCTGAACAGCAACATTTACAAATTCTACAATAACAAATTTTCTGTGTTGGTGTTATGTAGCCCAATGCTCTGCCAATTGAGCTACGCGGTCAGGTTGGTTTGAGTATGTGATATTTCGGAACAGACTCTAGTTCCTTCGATATCAATGTAATCCAGTAGTTATGATTTTCAGTTTGGTGTTATGTGGCCACCGTGACCAGGCATATTTCCCAAGCTTGCCCGGTGTGGATATACACTCAGGGTATTGGGTAACATCACAAACATCATATTTACCATGAGTCATGATTACTGGATTACATTGATATCAAAGGAACTCTTAGACTCAGTTGAAAAATATCACATACTCAAACCGATCTGACTGCCAGCTCAGTTGGCAGAGCATTGGACTAATATTCCAAAGGCTGTAGGTTCGATTCCCACCCTGGCCAGGCATATTTCTCAATTAGCTTGCCCAGTGTGGATATACACTCAGTAGTGTTTGTATTGATTGTGATATGTTTGGAATGTTACCCTAACACAACTATGATCTATAAGATATGATTAGGGAGTTTAAATTAAGCTTCACATTCAAATGGCAAAGGGAAAATTTATGCTAGAAGGTAATACTAAAGTGGGATTTAATTTCAAAATTTGGTGTAACACTGTTTCCAGTTGCCAAGTAAATCTTGAATGTTTATTTATCAAACCCTAGAACGTCTGACATTTCAGGCTACCCACAAAAATTTGTGAAATAACAACAAGCATATATGAATGTTTTTATTATTATTTAAGCCGTGCTTTTCAATTTTGCATGTTAACCAATTAATGTTTAAGTATTAACTATCCCAGGTCAGGAGCAACCCATGCAAGTTTTAGCTTATTGGTTAAAACTATTGGTCAATAATATTGGCATGGAATGGCATAATAGTAGTGGCAATAATAAATGATTACTGTACTGCAGATGATTTAGATCATACTTGTATGTAGAGATAGAGGCTATATTTAGTTTATTTTCTCCTTCAATTAAGACATTGGCAATGGGTTGAGAAAAATATTTGCAAATGTCTGATGTAAACTCAATGAAGGCTGGCGACTTCACATCATGGACAATTTTCAGCCTGGCGGATCGGGCAAAAGTGAGACACCAGGGTTTGACTCAAGTGAGATACCAGGCTAGCAGCTATAAAACTGGCTAGCCAAGTAATGGTTGAAAATTTGGCCAACATTGCCATTGGCAGATAATTTGGTTAAATATAAATCAGTAAGTATTTGCCTTTCTTGTGCTCATTTTTTTATATATGAATATAACTAGGGATGAGCCGATTAATCTGCCAAGCCAAATAATCGGCCAATTTTTAATAATCGGCCGATTATTTCTGAATAATCGGCCATTTGCCGATTATTGACCAGTTTCTTTTTTCTACTAGAAATAAATGAAAATCTGTGTATTCATTGTGTTTTTTGCATATGTTTGACAATTTTTCACGTTATTGAGCGGTATGCAGCTGCTACACAAATACGTACAAATAAGATCTTGCTTTTATCTCACCTCTTCATCGCAAATGCAATTATTATAAGTACGAAAATTAACACTTGTACATGTAACTCCCATGACCGGAAAACATTGTGTGCGCACGGAAGACCATTACATGAGACAAAAGAGAATGTCATGAAAACTTTTCAATTTGTATCCAGCTTTAGAAGGAAGGAAGAAGTGCTTTGCTACATTAGCTTCTCAAGTTTCATTTCAATGCTTAAAAGCATCTGAGGTTCATCAGGACAACTAACGCCTACTGGTAAATGTGTTAATGGAAATTGTTGTATATTCATATCCGGTTAGTTACTTCCTGTTTTATGTAATATAAATAAGCCAGCTTCTCTGTGGCAATGTACAACAACAACAAAAAATATAGTCAAAGTATACTTCACAATCCTTATCAATCTGAGAGTTAGATCGAGTCAAGACAACATAACATGGTGGCAGCGATGGGATAAAAACCCCAGCTTGTTAATGTGAGCGATTTTTCGACACCAGCGATAGAGACGAAAGAAATATAGGACAAAACATTTCGATACAAAACACTCGAAAATGGCGTTTAGTGCACCGTTTTCAGCACCTCAAATGGATTGGGAAACTAACGACTCGATCTTAGCGTTTGGCAAATTCAAGCAAAAATGTGAGCTGATGTTCAAAAGTATACTCAAACACGCTGAAGGAGAAGAACAAGTCAGCTATATCCTGCTATGGGTTGGCGAGCAAGGTCTCAACATCTACAACAGTTGGACATTCGAGGACGTGAAAGACCAAAAAGACCCAGCGAATATTCTCGATAGATTTATGGAACATTTGGAGCCACGGACAAATCATCGAATTCACAGGTATACTTTACAAAGTATGCGACAAGACCAAGGTGAGTCAATCGATAATTTTATTGCCAAGATTAAAAATATCGCAGCCAAATGCAAGTTTAATGGCAATGAGGAAATCGAGGACAGATTATTAGATCAACTAATTTGGGGTACAAATGATCCTGAAGTTCAGAAATCCTTAATTGGACGCGATGAAAAACTAACATTAAATACTGCCATAGATATTGCTAGAAGTTATGAAGCAACGAAGCGTCAAATGAATTCATTATTAAATCAAAATAAGGGAAATCCCCAGCGAATTGATAACATTACTCGCAAGAAATTGAACGCTGATAATAAAAATTATAATATTATTCAGTGTAGAAATTGTGGCAAAACTCACAAACTGCCACATAAAGGGAACTGTCCAGCCCATGGTACCACATGTAGGAATTGTGGCAAATTAAATCACAGGCAATTAGTATGCAAATCACCTAAGAGCCAACATAGATCAAAGTCGCCATACCGAAAAAACAAAAAATCCATTAATAGTCTTGAGAAACAAAATGAGACTGACCCGTATGCAGATATCCCAACAATTGGCACTATTGAAATAAATAGTGTGGAAAATCATAATAATACTACTAGTGAAGAAATATTTACTACCCTACGTGTTAACCGTAAGAATAATGGAGATATAAATTTAAAATGCAAAGTAGATACGGGTGCTCAGAGCAATGTATTGCCCATTCATTTGTTTCGTGTTCTATATCCTGAATTAATTAATGCAGAAGGAATGCCCAGGGACGGTGCTCTGCAAAGAAGTGATGTTATTTTAACTGCATATGGGGGATCTGAGATTACCCAATTTGGAAAAATACTGATACCATGTCAACATAAAAGGGGGAAATTTAACTGTATTTTTACATAACTGATGCAGTAGGACCAGCTATATTGGGAATAAAAGCGTGTAGAGCCCTTGAACTGGTTTCACTTCATTGTGCACTGGAAACAAAAAGTGTGCAAGGAAAGAACGTCTCTCGAGATGTTGCCCAGGGGCCTAGGAAAGAGGAAGTAAAGCCCAGTAAGACTGTTAGATTTGCAGATCAAGCAAAGATAATAAATCAGCAACAAAATCGGTCCAGAAATTATATTAAACCTTCTGTGCCAATAACAAGCCGTCCTCGTATAAAGGACAAAGAGCATCTGATTGAGATGTACCCAGAATGTTTTGACGGGTCAGTTGGATGTTTTGAAGATTACACTTACCATATTACCCTAGATCCTAAAGTTCAACCAGTTGTTCATGCACCTCGCAGAGTACCATTAGAACTGGTAGATAAACTAAATTTCGAACTTAATGAGATGGAAAAGAACGGGGTAATAGAAAAAGTAACAAAACCTACCGATTGGGTTAATTCTATAGTTATAAGAGAAAAGCCCAATGGAAGACTTCGTTTATGTCTTGACCCTAAAGACTTGAATGAAGCAATCATGAGGGATCATTACCCAACACCCACCTTAGAGGAAATCACCCCAAAGTTAGCTGGAGCTAGGGTATTCAGCAAAATAGATGCTCGTAACGGATACTGGAATGTTAAGTTGGATGACGAATCATCCTATCTAACCACTTTCAACACACCGAATGGTCGTTATAGATTCCTTAGGATGCCATTTGGTCTTCGAATGAGCCAAGATGTTTTTCAATTCAAGATCGATGAAACTTATCGGAACTGTCCTGGTGCTACTGGGATCGCAGACGATATCACAGTCCATGGCCGAGATGAATCAAATCACGATCTACATCTTCATGATGCAATGGAACGTACAAGAATGGCTGGCATCAAACTCAACCAAGAGAAGTGCATCATCAAGACGTCCGAATGCAGTTTTTTTGGTATGGTATACACCTCGAGTGGAGTCAAACCAGATCCAGAGAAGGTCATAGCCATACAGAACATGGAACCACCCAAAGATAAGAAAGAACTTCACACGTTCCTTGGTATGGTCAACTACTTGGCGTCATTTATGCCTAACTTGGCAAGTCACATGGCACCTTTGAGGGAGTTACTCCGGGATAACGTGGATTACCAATGGTCCCCGTCCCATACAAGAGCTTTTGACATACTCAAGTGTCAAATAAGCACAGAAACTACACTTTCCTACTACGACAGAAGCAAACCAGTTGTGCTACAAGTAGACGCATCAAGTAAAGGCTTGGGAGCCGTCTTATTACAAGAGAATAAGCCCATTGCCTTTGCATCGAAAGCCCTAACTCCTGCTGAGAGTCGGTATGCCAACATCGAGCGTGAGTTATTAGCGGTGGTGTATGGTTGTGAGAAGTTTCACACATACTTATATGGAAGGCAATTTGTTGTGGAAAGTGATCATCGTCCTTTGGAACAGATCCAGAAGAAGAATCTCGACATGGCACCTCCTCGACTTCAACGAATGCTCCTACGCTTGCAACCATACGATTGTATCATCAAATATAAGCCAGGCAAAGAGATGGTGATAGCAGATACACTTTCGAGACTGTCACCAAGGGAGGGAGACGAAATCCCTGGAATGCAAGTGAAAATTCATCATCTAGTGGAGTTCTCACCTGTCGAACTCCAACAGATAAAAGACGAAACTGCTAAAGATGGAACTCTTCAAATCCTCACCGAGCAAGTTATGCAAGGGTGGCCTGATAGCATAAAGAAAACTCAGCAAGCAATAAAGCCTTACTGGAATAACCGAGATGATATCTCTATTCAAGAAGGAGTTCTACTATTAGGAAGTAGAATAATTGTTCCAAAATCACTCCGGCAGAAGATATTGCAAGAAATCCACAGTGGTCATCAAGGGATGGAGAAGTGCAAACTCCGCGCAAAATCCTGTGTCTATTGGCCTGGTATATATAAAGAGATTGAGAATATGGTGGCGTCCTGTTGTGCCTGCAAGAAATTCCAGAATTCTCAGCAGAAGGAGCCCATGATTCCAAGTGAAGTACCGCCAAGACCATGGCACACTGTGAGTGCAGACCTGTTCAAGGTAAATAATTTCTGGTACATAGTTATCGCTGACTATTATTCGAAGTTTCCATTCGTGAAGAAGTTGAATAATCTAACAGCAACCACTGTAGTTAATGTGGTTAGATCAATATTTTCTGAGCAAGGCATACCAGAAACTCTGATTTGTGATAATGGAACCCAATTCACTTCTGCCCAATTTCAAGACCTAGCTAAGAGATATGGTTTCAGAGTGGTGACTTCGTCACCGTACTACCCAAAGGGTCATGGCTTCATTGAGAGACAGGTCCAAACTGTGAAGAAGATCCTGTTGAAATGCAAAGAATCAGGAACTGATCCTAGTCTTGCATTGCTGTCGTTACGTTCTACACCGTTAAGTGCAACACTCAAATCTCCAGCAGAACTACTAAATGGAAGAATGTTCAAGACAACATTACCAGTAAAGATTCATCCACCAAACGATTGGCACAAAACCAGAGACTTGTTATTAACACAACAAAAGAAACAAGTCAATCTATATAACAGGGATTCGAAAGAGAAACCAAATCTCTTTCAAAATCAAGCTGTACAAGTTCAAGACCCTCTGAAAAAAACATGGAGTCCAGCGAGAGTAGTTGGGTTCGGACCAACTCCTCGTTCCTATATTACAGAGGATGAATCCGGAGTTCAAATACGGAGGAATAGACAGTTAATCAAGCCTGACATCCAGAAGACACCTGGACTAACACGTCCTGCAGCTGTGAAAGATAACCACAGTGAAAAGAGAAATGATGAGATACCTGATCGACCAGAAGTTCGAACACGCTCAGGTCGTATAATTAAAAAGCCGGATAGGCTAATGTATAAGTAGATAGTATCGAACAGTCCTAATGTATAAGTAGTTAGTATCGAACAGTCGTAAATAAGAACACAATCGGTAAGATTTATGCATTAATACAAATACTATTAGTTAGAATTATAAATTAGAACATTTGATAAAAACAATCTGAAGATAAACAATCTAGAGATATATAAATAATACTAAATATAATTTTTATGTAAAATTAAGAAAACTTGTAAAAATATCTTAAAGAAAGGAGGATGTTGTATATTCATATCCGGTTAGTTACTTCCTGTTTTATGTAATATAAATAAGCCAGCTTCTCTGTGGCAATGTACAACAACAATAAAAATATAGTCAAAGTATACTTCACAATCCTTATCAATCTGAGAGTTAGATCGAGTCAAGACAACATAACAGAAATAATCGGCTTTGGCCGATTAATCGGCCGATTATTTGGTATTATCGACCACCGATTAATCGAATTGGCTAATCGGCAATTTCAATGATCGGCTCATCCCTAAATATAACTTCAGCACCATTATGTTACTGGCAAAGAATTAGCATAACATTTTCATTTATATATACAGTCTACAGTATGATTTATAAACAAGAGAGAAATTCGATCTACTGTATAAAGATAAAATATTCATACCTTATAGGAAAGTAGTCCGAATACCATACTTAAAATAAGCAAAATTCTAAACTCAGATCTTTGGTCCAAAATATAATAACAAATATACTGTTATTTACAAAACTATTCTTAAAAATATTATCTGTAATACAAAGGATTAGGTCGATATTTAAATAGATTTTTATATTGGGTCTATGTCTATATATATGATCAAATCTATCACAATCAATTGAAGTGTAAATAAGTCGCTACAAAATATAAAAATACTCACCGAATATTGCGCTTTATTACAAAAATATGATCCATTTAGTTCACCGAATAAACGAGACTTGATATAAACATAAAATGATACAAAAAAATGGCAACGAAGTGTCCCACTGCCCAAAATTCAAATACAAAACATCACACTTCGATGATATATCATATATGGGGTGGACCAATGTTATAGTAAGGGTGGTTCGGTGCCCTCAATGAGTAACTGGAGTATCAGGTAATCCAGTGAACTGAACTAGCGAGGCCCCTATGAGGAAATTTACTGAATATATTTACAATTTTATGATTTGTAAGGCGATCATTTTTTAAGTCCGGCTTATCAAGTGGTCTTTCAGAGCAAATTTTAGAAACACTTTATCATAAAAAGCAAAGTTATTTGATGAGTACAAATTTTTCAGTTACAAGTTCCCAAAAAATCCTGTGTAGAAACACCAACTATTTATGACTTCTGAAGGATTTGAAGTAAACAATAGAATATAGACTGCACTTGCTTCTATCCCTTCTTTAGTTTTTAAGTGGGGTATTTACCACTAAAAAGAGTGTACAGAAATTGAAAAACGTTGATTGGAAGACCTCACAAAATTCACATGTGTTTCAGTATACCTAAAAGAGAACACTCTTTCGCATCAATCTTGGCTTCACCCAATAGTATTTATATTAAATTTGATCACTGACGTGACGTCGCCACAACGGTGTCAGAAGGATGTCGAAACAATGTCATTTTTGCAATGTCGATAACACGTTGAAACAACGTTGATTATACGACGTCTGTGATTCGTCATGAAGGTGACATTGAAACAACGTCAATATTTAGTCCATCGATGTCTCGACTTAATTTCGACGTCGTGTGCCGGCTGGGTAGTAGTCTTCATGAAAACTTTTTAAATTACTTGGAATGTGTGATCCCACCAATGAAGCAGATCTAAATCAACACAGTTTACCAGTTGAGATATAATGAAATCAACTGATAATGAAAGAGTGATAAAATTATCGACATTCACCTCTTTATGTTTTGAGAAGAGATCTAATGAATAGGCTGTTTAACTAAAACCCAAACTTCTTCAATTATATACTGTAAATAGGGTACTTGTATGTAAACTAAGTCTTCCTTTATACCAATAACTTCATTTTCTATTCCTTGTATTACTCAATACTGACAAAAGCATTTGTAAATATTTATACCAACTAATAAGCAATAGTTCTATGTAAAGTCATGCTAATAAAGTCATTTGTTACTGTTGCTGTTACTACTTCATATAAAAATAAAAATTGGGAATTGAAATTAAGGAGAGAGGAGAACAATATGGATAGCAAATTTTGGAACCAGGACAGTGGTACGATACAAAGCCAACAAAGGGGGGTAGAACCTGCAAATGAGGCTACATTCCGCTATCAAAGTTCTTTCGTAAATTATTTTGGGGGCACCCCTTACACCTAGTGTCTGTCCCTGAACAAAATGGCTACTTATTGGTGCAGTTACTCTCTCTTTCTATTCTTTTTCTTTCCTTTTCCTTCTTTCCTTTTCCTTCTTTCTTTCTTTCCCCCATTTTCTTCTCTCTCTTTTTTCTTTCTGGCAGCATAAAAACTTTTCTGGGACCAATGGTCCTGTGGTCTATATTTTCCACCCTCCTTGTGACACACTGTGATTGTCACAGGTTTTGTAAAAAAATCGAAAATCTTTGCAAACTTTTGATAAATTTTCTCGCATGATGCATCGTTTGAAAGCCCGAAATTTGCACTTTATACTTGTGACCATTGCTAGGCAACCCAATAAATATATGCTAGACAAGCGTGACATGTCATTCAGGGCTCATGAGGGCGTAATGCGACTTACCCTGCTGTTCCCAATTACAGGGCGCATGGGGGAACAATGTGACTTAATGAGTTAAATATTGTTTCAAAATTAAGCCAAATAAAAGCAATATTAAATATGAAGTGCCTGTTTAATAAAAGCAGTATTAAATATGAGGCAAATAACAAATGAAAGCAGTGTTGTTGGGGATTGGCCACCCTTGTTTCGCCCAACAATTCACATACAAATTAAAACCACAAAATAATTTCACAATGACGATATACAGTTTGTATATGTATATGTATATATATATGTATATATATATATGTATATATATATATGTATATATGTATATATATATATATATATATATATATATATATATATATATATATATATATATATATATATATATATATATATATATATATTAGAACAAATAAAACAAATTTAACAAATTAAAGGTTCACATAGATTCTCTTCGTTTGCAATATCACAAAGTCACGCTCTCGAGGAAGTTCGTCTCAACACTAAATGTTTCATGTGCATGCAGATATTTTGTATTGTCTTTCGTAACAGGCACGCAATGACCCGAACTTTATACAAGTTGGTACAAGTTGGTACAAGTTGCCAATGTGCTGCTACCCCTTGGTATACAAGTTCTCAAAATGCTGGTACCCCTTGGTACAACTTGCCACCTTGACCGTAATAGCAGCACTCCACCACCGTTCAGCATTGAATCCTGTCATATTACACAACGAGACACCATATTGTTCCACTATGGAATCATACTTGCAAAAATGCTTCATCTTCGCAGTTTGGCAACACATAAATCCTTCTTATCACGAACATGTTTCAAATAGTAGTTTTGATGTTGACATGTGCTGTATGTGTGGCCATTGTACCATAACTGTTCATGCCATAGTAATAGTTAAAGCCTGCCGCACACGAGAGCTATCTGCTGAGCAAAAAGTTACTCGTGCCTGTTAGCTCAGCCGATAGCTCACCGTGTGCGGGTACATTTTACTGAGTTTTTTGCCTCATGCAACCTTTTCTCACGTATCAAACATGTTTGATACGTGAGCTATCAGCTGAGCTAACAGGCACGAGTAACTTTTTGCTCAGCAGATAGCTCTCGTGTGCGGCAGGCTTAACTCTGATGTAAAGATAAACCAGCTCCTCGTGTCAGCTTTTGTTTTATGCTGATTCAGCTTTCTAATTCTTAACATGTTCATTTTTAAAGCTGTTAAAACTAAAAAAATTGACTCAGTGATGATTCTGATGAAATTCTTCTGCATGCAGCTTTGGACGAAAGTGCAAGGTTTAGACTTTAGTAGTGTCTGTTGATATTTATTATTACACATTCTAACATGCTTTTTGAAATAAAACAGATACAGTCAAATAATTTCTGCCTGCACAGTTTTTACATGCAACAAGCATGTACATTGTATTGATATTATGGTTACTATTTGCAAAATTTTCAACAAATAGAAATGTATTAAGTTTGCTGATGATGAAGGCAACAGTGTAGGAGCTGTTTATACAGGTGGGCTGACCAGGGAGTTCTTTCGCTTGGTGACAAAGGAAATGTTTATGAAAAATAAAGTGCTCATCCACAATATCCAAGGTATAGTTTGTAATTTATATATTCCACCTGTATTCCAAATGGCATGCATTACAGCATATGTTGAGGGTCAGGATAGGATGGGACAATGACTGGGAACCTGGCATATGTGAATATGCTATATGTGTCACATTCTGCTTAAAATTCTTAATAAAATCTGATGAAAAAATGTATCAAACTCGATCCAGTGGTTTGATGTGTTTTTACAGACATTTGGTAGAATGGCTGGCTGATATTTGAACTGTAACGTAATGTCTACGCTTATTACTGTAAAGAGCATTTCATAATTTGTTTGATGTTATGTTAAAAATGTAATATGTTGTATTTAAGCAAGAACTCCGGGATTGTACAAGAGTTATGGAATGTTACTGTCATTATCGCTTTGTAATGGTGGTAATGCATGTCATTGCCATGATGAAAGTGTGTATGACTTTTTGGGACATGGTGATTGATGGCAAAGTTTTACCAAGTATATTGATGACATTCCTGATCACAAGTCTAAAACAATATTGTTAAAAGGCATATGTAAGAACATTACAGTGCTGATTACGAGGTTGAATTTCTTCAGAATACTGTATGCTGTTAAGCCAGGATCAAACAACATGCAAGTAATTGTAAGGTTTAACTTCTGATGTATTGAAAAGAATGAAATAATAATTCAAGGAAGCAACATGCAAATGTGAAATACTAAAAAACTGCCTGTAATTGGAGTATGTATAATTTTTCTATGGTACTGTACCACACAGCAAAACATGTAATTTACCCTTGTGTTTTCAAAATATTGACCCCTTTTAATAGTTTGCATTGTTCAGAATATTCATTCCAGCTTTTCCATATGTTACAAGTCTATGGTGGCCCAGCAGTATCAGGATAATTTTGTGTACATTTTGTATTGTAAATACCATTATAACATTGCTTTTAATTTAAAAGTTTATATTGTTTTCAATGTTAAATACAACCTAATTTCATTTCACCACATAAAATGAGTTGTACTTTGTTTTCAATTGTAAATTTAGTTTAATGTTGATTCACATTTTAAAATAGATATTACAACTTGATATCAGATTTTATTTAATTTTAATTTTCTTACTTGGGTATTAAACATGCCATGCAAGAAAAAAATATGAAAACCTTCACATGGCCCATCGATATCAGTATCAAGAATACAAATTCATTACCCATAATCCTTTGCAAATTGCAAAAATCATGTCAAATTTTCAGTTTATGTGACAAGTGACTGTCGTGTTCAATGGCATATAATTTCGATTGGAAAAACAACAAAAATTTGAAAACAGATCTCGATAAGTATGTCCGCGAAAACTTGAAAAAATGTGAAATCCTTGACTTCGTTAAACGTGACTATCCTGATTATCCATGGAGTATGGCAACACTAAGTCGACGACTTAGTCACTTTGGGATCAGGTATATCAATTATGAAACCCCATTACAAGATGTAACCGAAGCAGTTTCGAAAGAACGGGAAGGTCCTGGAAGATGCTTAGAATACCGAGCCTTAAATCAAAAGCTGAGAACTCAGCACAACATCAAAGTTTCACGGCATTTAGTGTATAACATGCTTATGGATCCTGAAGGCCTGGAAGCCAGAGGTGTCAACAAGAAAATTAAGAAGCGGAAAGTCCCATTTTCATCCAAAGGGCTAGTTTTGTTAGACGGGCATGACAAATTATGCGGGTATCAGAACTGGACATTTCCTCTGTGTATCTACGGCTGTCTAGATACATTCGAACCTCGTTCCCAGGGTATTTAGGAAATACCATGGTATGGGCTGGTTACGTGCCTCGTCCAAAATTTAGTGCCCGAGGGGGTGTGGGGAAGGCAAATTACATGATTCCAGTGGAGATATTTTGTTTAACAGTTAAAAACATTATTAAGTTCAAAATACTTGCTAATTTTTGTTTATTTTCTTTGCTTTGAATTTACAAGAACATTCTTACATTTTTACCTACAGTCAAGTCAAGAAACCAAGCAAATCGTTACTCACAGTGCTCTCTCGTGTTGTTATTCAATGCCGTCTCTTCACACTGGAGCGCGGTTTTATGACAAACATTTATTATAAGCTTTTACAAACGTTTATTATAAGCTTTTCAGTCATTCCTACATATGCAATGTTTTTAAAATACACCATTAGATTTGTCCTTTCTTGTAAATGTTTATATGCTTTGCACCTATTTAATTACTTGTTACTACGTCTACAGGTCTTGTTTTAACTCATTAACGCGCAAGCTGTTACAATGTTTCTACCCCCCTAACGTGCAAGCAATATGGCGAATACGTGACTGAATTCAAGAGCTTTCACCAAAATGGCAATATCTCAGAAACAGTTGCATGAAAAAATCTGGTCTTTTCAACCAAATATTATTAATACATGATTGACCAAATTTAGTTTAAATGAACTTGCATACCTATATATATCATTAGTTTTTTCAATGAGAATTTTTATTTGTAAACCAGTGACACTATTTTTTTCATGTCACTCATCACCTAAAGGGGCAATATCTCCATATATTTATATAAAAACCAAAAAAAAAAAAATTTACTAAATTAGTACATATCTATATTATAACCAATTTTCATCTATTGGGATATGAATTAGAAAATGATCAAAAATTATAAAAAATACTCCTTTGCTTTTTTGGGACAAGATGTTTACAACATGAAATTTAGAACAGTAACTAAGTGTTAAAATTCAACAAAGTGTGCAAGCCAAAACACAGCGCTTGTACATCTTTGGAGTTTTTAATTACCTCAAATATATTTAAAAGGACATACGGTACTAGAATCTATTTGTTTTCAATATAAACCAAGGATGGGAAGGTGAGAAAATAGGAATTTTCTGAGGTGTTTTTAACACAGACAATGACAGCCGACATTTTCAAAGGCAAATTGTGGTGACAAAACCAAAAGCTATTAACCTCTCTACTCAAAGCACTGAAAAACACCATAAAAGAAAAACATTTTAAACATACATCAGGTAAGACTTTTAGCTCAATTTTCTCATGTTTTTGTTGGAAAAGAAACGGTTTTTAGCCAAAATTATTTTGCGCGCCAATGTAGGCTGCTATAAAATGTCA